TATATATATATATATATATATATATATATATATTTTAAATTTTAGATTTATAATTACCTAAAATGTTCCAGAATCCACTATGATGTACTTTTGATCTTGACTCCTCATCAGAATGAGATCACAATACAAAGATTATCAGTCAAATTTAGATGATCTCAAGCAAGCTTGAGTTGCAATAAAAGAAAGATTAAAATGTGATTTTTCCAAAAGGATTTAAGTGAGGTTTAAATCAAACTTAGAACCTACACAATAAATTGCTTGTGTAGTTTAGAAGTTAGAGTTACCAATCATAGAAGCCTTAGAGACATTTTGCTTGTATGCTTGCTATTTTTCTTTGATTTAAGTTGAATTTAGTCTATAACAATGAATTCATTCATTCCTTGGTACTACAACAAATAACAAACATTAACCACGAGTCTATTTTATTTTTTTCTGGATGGATCCAATGATTTCCTGCTCTAGCTAAACTCTGAATGCAGAAACAGATGGGTTGCTTGGTGCTTTCAAACTGTTTTGCTTCCAGAAGCTAATGATTATATAAAAGGAGTGATTCGTCAAGAGTGTTGTATTGATAGTTGAGTTGAAGGAACTTTTTCACTTATTGATGATCAAAATATTATATACTAATGCCTATTTATGACCAAAATGATAAGCACATTAAAAACTAAGTATTTTATTAAAGAATGAAAATAACCTATCTAATCATGCTGGATAAGCTCTTTGATAAAACAAATTCTTATCTAAATAGTTATCATAATGCGCATGACAATTAAAATCAAAATAATAGAGAATATTCTTGGAAATTATCCCATGAGTAAGAGGGGGGAGGGAGGGAGGGAGGTAACTATTTGAATCTCTCGATGTTTTGGTGCTCCTTTTCTAATGGGATTTTGAATTGGTAATTTTCAATTAGGTCTTCATTTTTTTGCTCATCTTTTATTAATGCTTTAATCTTTCTCTGCAGAAAATTGTGTTTGATAGTGGAATATTCTCTAGACATTTAGGACCATTTTGGAAACTCCTTCAAAATAATATAAACTTATTTTGATATTTTAATTTTTGAGTGTTTCATGGATCAGTGATTTTATGAATATTCTATTATTAGGGTCCTCTTAAATTAGGGTTCTCCCTATGATCCTTTCTTACTCTTGCAAATGTCTAGGCTCATACCTTGGTTGTGCCACTTGAGTTGTTTTCACTTTAGCTGAAAATTTGATTTTTGTATTTTTCTTTGCTGGTAAAAATAATAATAGCATGAACTTTCCATCCCTCCTATCTTGGAGACTAGAAAAAATCAAAAGGCTAATAAGTTATGCAAATCTGCTCAAAGCCATCCAAATTAAAAATGGTTGTTGTTTCCATTTGCTTGACTTGTGTATTTAAATTATTTTTTAAATTAAAATGCTATTATATATTTATTCTTTGAACCTATTTTTCTGACTTAAATTAAAAGCGGGCCCTACATTCACATATTTTTTAAAAATTTTTTAAATATTTTAATTTTAGACGGGCTTTTTGGAGTAAAAGATAACTAATAATATGAGAGTTTAACCCACTCTGACTTAAAATTTTATTTAAAACATCATAAATCAATATTTGATCTTATGATGATTAAATAATTCTTCATCATTTTTTATGAATTTACCAATCAAAGAGGGCTCATCATTTTCACAGAGGATTAAAAAAAAAAAGTTCTAAGGAGAATTGTTGACATTCAAGCCCTCATATAAAGCTAAATTTCAACAATTCATTTCAATATTTTGAGCACTAATATTGATGGTGGGCCCATTGCCATCTTTAACCTATTATTTATCAACTATCAACCCGTGCTTCTTCATGAACATCCCAAAATTTGAAATCTTGAATTTTATTCATAAAAATAATTTTATTTATCTTTTAGGTACCTCTTTTAATTTTACAACGGTGATTCTTAGTATTTTTTATTTTACAACACTTTATCTTAAAATCTAGAACTCATAATTGATGTTGACTACTTAAATTCTCACTTGGAATAATCTTACAATCTTTACATTCTCAACGCTCTCTCCTTCTCATAGGAAAATAATCAATTTGTGTTTTATTAGATCTATTTTTATAAGTAATAATATGCTCATATATTTTCTTAAATAAAGTATTAGCAATAACAAAATCACAAGCTAAAACAAAATTTAATATAGCTCTATCTTCTTCATTAATCCCTCCAAAACCGTAGCCACTATGAATATTTCTAAAATCTTCTACCACTCTACCAACATGTCCATTTAAATCTCCTCTAATAAAAATTCTTTTTTCAAGAGGTATCATTTATGGATGAAACTGCACTTAAAAAAATGTATTTTTGTGTTTATCTTGCAGTTACAATAGGAAGTATAAGTGAGGAAATCAAGACAAGACTTGGAGCAAATAGAAGCACCATGAATATTTCTAAAATCTTCTACCACTCTACCTACATTTCCATTTAAATCTCCTCTAATAAAATTTTTCCTTCAAGAGGTATCATTTGTATTAAGTCTTCTAAGTCATTCCAGAATTTATCTTTAGAACCCATATCTAAACCTATCTGAGGAGCATAAGCAATGATAATATTAAAAATTTTAGTATCAACAAAAATCTTAAGGGCTATAATTCTATCTCGAACTCTTTAATTTTTACAACATTATCTTTTAAACTCTTATTTATAATTACACCAACACTAAATCTAGTTCGACTCTTTCCTGAATACCAAAGCTTAAAACCTAAGATATCAATCTTCTTTGCCTTTTTTCCAAACCATTTAGTTTCTTGAACACATAAGATATTTATCTTTTTATGAATTAATATTAACTAATTACATTAATTTACCCGTGAGAGTACCTATATTCCAAGATCTTATCCTAATAATAAAATGTCTATGGGGTATTTCTTCCAATGGTTTTTTTAGAATATAGCTGGTCTTAAGAGGTGGTTTCGAGGGAAAAAATATGCAGAAAAGTAAGTTTTAAAATACAGCCAAATGAAGGTATCAATGATAGGAATGGGTAAAATTTTATTTTCTGCACGACTATGACATCAATGTGTTCTTCAGTTAGTTGAAGCACCGGGATTTTATTTTGGTATTCAAGGCTTGTTTTATTTCTGAAAGGAGGGTTGTGGGATTGTTCTTAGAGACCTTAAAATGCGGGTTAAAAATGGAACATCTGAATTTAATTGTTCATGAATTTGGCAGTGAGAGCGAAACACGGATATTTTGAAATTAGTTTATTTTGATGTAATATGCATTTGATAACGGTCATGCATTCTCCTAAATTTTTTTTATTTCTTGGTTGGTTTGGTTCACTATTTAGACTGTTTTGTGACTAGCTGAACTAGTAAATTTTTATATTAGCTAGAATTTTAGATTATGATATTAAAGACTTGCAGATTAGACCATATAATGAGGATTTTCAGAAACCATCATTTGCTGGTCTTTTTTGCTCGAGCATGCGATTTATTATTCAATGGTTCAATAAAATTCAGTTTTCCCGTTGTGCTTGTGTGATGTTTGGATACTAATTCCTCGAGTTCTGGTTTCAACAGTAACTTTTAGGTATGTTTTCTCATGGTTACTCTGTCAGGCTTGTAGAAGTGAGGCTTGGATTAACAATTACAATAGTTTATCTTGGATTAACAATTTGCACAAAACCTTTACATTAGTTACTCTGTCAGGCTTGGATTAACAATTTGGCGATTTTTCTCATTTATTTATCTTGTTATTTTTTAAGCTGCTGGTCTGTATCTGAGTTAAGATTTGGTCAAGTTTATGTAGTTTGTTTTCTTTTTTTGGCATGAAGCCTAATGTTTTCTTGACTTCCATTTGATTTTAGATTTTCTTGTGAATTTAGATTTTCATTTTTTTGGTTTGTTATAAATTAATGTTTGATGAAAAGGTTGTCTTTTCCTATTTTAAATGGAAAATGAATTTTGCCTACTCTGGGAGCTAGTGAACTTTAAATATTGACTTTAGCATGCTTATTTGTACATCCCATTTAAACATTTATATGTCGTAGATTTTAAAATGTCCGTGCAGTTTATGTTTACACACCTAACATTTTTTACTTATCAGTTTATTTTTGCACACCTAACATTTGTTATTCCTTTCAGTAACGTTATTTACTTGGGCATTTCTATAAACCACGCCTGGCAAAACATTTATCATTCAGAAAGATAGAATAGTATTCATATTTCTTATCTAAAACTTGAATATCTGGGTTTCATGTTACTTGTTACAGCCTTTGAGGATACTGCAGTCGTCAAGGCATTGCAGAAATTTTCCCTTAAAATGTTAGCTGTTCTCTAAACTCTTTAATATTATTTTAAAACTAAAAAGATGCCTGAGGAGTGGATGAAGAGTATTTTGGTCCCCATTTTTAAGAATAAAGGGGATGCACAAGAGTGTGCAAGTTATAGAGGAATAAGTTGATGTGTCATACATTAAAATTATGGTATAGGGTAATTGAACATAGGTTAAGATGTGATACAAATTTTTCTCATAGTTAGTTTGGATTTATGACGGTTAGGAGAGTGCGCTTTAGCTTTGACCGATCTTAAGAAAGGCAGAGGTAGAACTAAAAAGACCTTGGCATATTGTATAAAAAAATGATCTTAATCTATTACAATTAAATGAAATATGACACTCAATAGGACGTAATGGAGAAAAAGGATTTATGTTGCTAACCCCACTTAGTGGGATAAATCTCGTTGTTGTTGTTGTTGTAAATGTTAGCTGTCCCCACAAAAAGCCTCTTGGACAATCTGTGAGAGAATATATATATATAGATATATATATATAAACACACACACACACACACATTGTCACCATTATATTTCTTGTACTGATTTGTTTGTGTACACTCTTTACTTTAGTTAACGCTAGCATTTTTTTTATTTTAATTAAAAAATGCCAGCAAGAGCAAGTTATTTTCATCTTGCCGTTATTTATATCGCCTACCTGTTTGATATATTTTAAGCTCTTACATGTTTTGGTTTTGGTTACCATTCTATCAACTTTCTCTGTAGTTGTAGAAGTATATCTGGATATTGATTCCATCTCCTTTGTTTAACAGGGATTAGGTAATAAATTTCTTTCCCACATTCGTGAAGTGGATTCCATACTTCAGGTTCATTTTAATTTACGTTGTTGCTTTCTCTGCTGTTTCCTGTGTCATGCCAGTAGATAATCATTGCCATCTTTTTTAAAATATTTGCATATAATTTTTATTATTATTACTTATTAACAAAATACCTAGAATAGAATTGGCGGAGGACGCGGGTTGATTTGTATTACGGTTAGTGATTTTGCAATGATTGAAAATGATCCTGAACGGCAAGTTGGAGTGAACTAGCCACTATTTCAACAGTTATAAATGTGATAAATTTCTTATCTGTTCGGGATTTGGTGGTGCCATTCAGAAGTTGGCAAACCTCCAGTGCTTAGGCTTCTTTTTGGTGTGAAGAAGATGGGCTATACCATTTGAAGAAGGAACAACTTATCTTATTTTCACAAATATCTTCCCTAAAGTTTCCTATCAGTCCGGGATTAATTTGCTTCTTCTATTCCGAGATTTGTAGCTCTCGGAATTCTTCTTTGACAGGGTTTTCTTATTTCCAGCATTCATTATGGTTATCTTTGGAAGGGAAATTGAAAAATTTAGACACGAGGAGAAGAGCAAAAATAAAAAAAGGGGAAATAAAGGATGAAAGGGGACTCTTACCTTTTCTTTTTTGATATTATATATAGAAGATGAATTGACTGGAAAACTTGTTTTCTTCATTTTCTCAATGCAAAACCATCTAAAAAATAATTGAAAATTAGTAGATCACAAAGAACTTAAAAATTTAAACTGTTTTCAATTATTTTTTTATTTTTTATTTTTATCTTGGTGGGCCGAAAAAAATGGGAATCCATGGAACTTCCTTTTCCATATTTAATTCATGAATCCGTGCACATGGTTTGTTTTGTTTAGCACGTGAATCTATTTCTCTTTTAATTCTTCTCTATTAATTTTTATTGTGTCAATTTCATCACCCCTCGATACGTTTCCAAAAAAGTAACTCATTAGATGGTTTAATCAAGCATTGTTCATCTTAATACCATAAAAATTTCCTTGTTATTTTTTAAATAAAGCAAATTATTATTTATAGTATTTGTATTCGAATGCCCCAGTCTATCAATAATTGCAAAAGCTTAGATTCGGTGCAGTTGTTTGTTCAATGCAACTTTTTGAAGTGATAAACAAGGTTGTGAAAATCAGACTGAACATCAGCTGAAAGAATGAGTGTTCAACTGGGTTTGGACTATAGGTTGAACTGGATGTTGGTGGTTGAATAATATAATAATAATGCATTAATATTATTTTTATCGATTCAATATATAATATTTTCTTTAAGTCACATCACTTTTGAATATTTTGAATAATATTCTAAATCAAAATTTTTAGAAACGATATTTTGGTTTATTTTTATTTAAATATCTTTTTTTTAGCCATTTTATCAAAACTAAAAGGTTAAAATTGGACAATATTAGAACTTTCTGGTACTTAAAAAAAAAAAAGGCTTACTTGCTGGTCCATCAACCCCGGTTCTAGACAGCAGCAATTTTGAGCTCGGATCAAATTGGTTGAATGACAGTTTCATAGTTAAACTGATCAAACCGGCTAGTCTGGTTTGATTTTTAAAAGCATGTTTACAAGTTAAAATTCATGAAGCTTTTTACGTCTTGTTTTTTCTTTTCTAAATCTTATTATGTTAGCTTACCTAAATCTTTAGACATGCCAACTCTCCACAGGTTGTACGCTGTTTTGAGGATAATGACATAGTTCACGTCAACGGAAAAATTGACCCGAAGTCAGATATCGATGTTATAAACCTAGAGCTGATTTTCTCAGACCTTGATCAGGTATACTGAACAATCATATTGTGATAGTTAAATTCTGTGACCCTCTTGTATTTGCTATGTTTCATATTTGATTGATAGATTATTACTTTCTTCTAAATTTCCTTATTTAATTGTTGGCGGATCATGAAGTTCACTCACAATACTAAATTGTTTATTTCATAAGAATTTCAGATAGAGAAAAGATTGGAGAAACTTAAGAAAGGCAAGGCGAAGGATACACAATCTAAACTGAAGGTAATCCTTAGGGAGCTGAGTTTAAACAAGAAGCATAAATTTAAATCAAAGATTTTGATTTTGGCTTGAGCCTTCTTGATTAGAGGAAGGTATTCAGTTTTGAGCTGATTCAAGTCAAGCCTTGTATAAATCAAAAACATTATTTATAGATACATTTACTTAAAGTTTGAGTAAAGTGTCTGAATAGTTCCAAGACTTTTTTACTAAAAGTAGTCCTACTTGAGGTCTATTTTAGCCCATATTAAAAGTGCTTGTGGACTAAATTAACCATTTTATCGACTCTGGTACTAAAATGATCAATTACAAAGATTCATGGGAGCATTATTTATAAATTATATATAAATAAATAAATAAATAAATAAATAAGCATACATACATACATGCATGCATACATGCATGCATACATACATGCATGCATACATACATACATGCATACATACATACATGCATGCATACATGCATGCATACATACATGCATGCATACATACATACATGCATACATACATACATACATACATACATACATATAATGTTTTTTGTAAATATGATTATATCTGTGTGTGTAATTATCTCTATTTGTCACTGTTTTCAATCTTCTAGGAAGAAACGGAGAGGTCAGCATTGGAAAAGATTCAGAAGCTTCTCATGGATGGAAAGCCTGCAAGATCTGTTCCTTTAACAGACTTTGAGAAAGATTCTATACGTCATCTTTGTTTGCTTACCATGAAACCTATCATATATGTTGCTAATGTGGCTGAATCTGATCTTTCTGACCCAAATAACAATCCACACGTCAAAGAAGTATTGAGACTCGCTTCTGAGTTGCAATCCGGCCTAGCATCAATTTCAGCACAGGTATGATTCTTGCAGCAAATCAAAGTAATTTTTTTTTGGGGCATTTACATACATACCACCCAATTCCAATGTATTTACACATTTAACACCTAAACTTTACTTTTTACATTCCAAATCTTTTATATCACATCAAAAATACCATCATTTTTGCATATGTTGTGTGGTATCTACAGGGTTATGAAAAGTTTTTTATTTCTGGTTAAACAAACAATGTGTTTTAAGTGGCCTTGTTTAGTTAAATGCTATCTTCTGCTGCTGACATTATTGTGAAAAATATTCACCCTATTTCTGTAAGGTATGATACATGTTATATTTGCCATTCTTCATATATCCGTAATTCCCATCTTTTGCTCCTGTGGTTAATGTCATCTTCTGTTATTAATCTTCTCTCTTTGGTTACCTTTGTAAACATTTTAAGGATCTTGCTAATGTCTTAATTTTCTCTATATTTCAAAATGACTAATATTGCGCATACCATGTTCAGGTTGAATCTGAGCTCACGGAGCTTCCATTAGACGAGAGGATAGAGTATCTAAAGTCTCTTGGTGTGAGTGAAAGTGGATTAGGAAACCTCATAAGAGAGACATACGACCTATTGGGACTCAGAACTTACTTCACATCAGGGGAAAAGGTGATGACATTTCTTTTTGGAGCATTTACATGCATACCACCCAATTCCTAGGTGTTTACATATCTAACACCAAAACTTTACTTTTACATTTATACTGCCTAAATCTTTCATATCACACAAAAAATACCACCATTTGAGCTTTTGAAGGTGAAATATACCTTTTCATCCATAGGTAGGTAGCATGTATGTTAAAATTGAAGTTTAGGTGTTAGATATATAAATACATAGGAATTGAGTGGTATGGTATGTATGTAAATCTTCCTTTCGATTTTTTATCTGATTTGCTTTCATGTCCTTGGTCTTCATGTTCCTTTCTGCTTCCTTTCAGGAAACAAAAGCTTGGACAGTACTTGCAGGTTACTTGTGTGTATTCTTCTTTTGTGCATATTTTAATTTCTGCTGCTCATAATTGCTTTGGTTATTTGAATAAAAACAGTATTCTATTGTGAAACAGGAATGACAGCACCACAAGCTGCTGGAGTAATACATTCGGATTTTGAGAAAGGCTTCATTCGTGCAGAGACTGTAATCTTTTAAATTTTTATTAGGGGCATTTATATACGCAGCACTTGGAAGTATTTACATATCTCACAACTAAACTTTTATATTTACATTGCTGAAATGTTTAATTTACATAAAAATTTGCACTATTACTAATTTTTAAAAGTGAAATACATGTTTTATGCATAGATTTAAAACACCAAAGAGCTATGTCTGTAATTATGAAAGTTCAGGTGTGAGATATGTAAATACATAAGAATTACGTGCCATGTATGTAAATTTTCATTTTTATTTTTATGCACGTGGTTCTTATTTTATTGCAGAAAAATTCTGTTTTCAAGCTCTGCAATCTGAAGTCCTTTTACAGAGTTTAGAATCTCACAGTTCTCAGAATACTTTGCTAGTTTCTTTTAATCACTTGTTTCATTGTTTGGATTCATTTTTGGTTCTTAGAAGTTTAATTCGTAAGCCTTAAATTTTTTTAATATTTATATGTGAAAATAATACCTGAATTTGTCATCAGGTATCCTACGATGATTTTGTTGCAGCTGGTTCTTTGGCTGCTGCGAGGGAGAAAGGCCTTGTAAGTCTAATGCCCACAACCCCACATTTATCTAATCTAACTTGTAGACTTTTATTCTTTATACGCTTTACCGAAACTAAATTGAATGCATTTACATGCATATCACACAATTCTTATGTAATTACATTTCCAAAACCTAAATATTTATATTTACATGCAAACCACTCAAATCCTTAACGTCCCCTCAGAAATATTACCATCACCATCTTTTTAAAAGTGAAATACACTCTTTCATGCATAGTTTTATGACAAGACAAATGTAAATATCAAACATGAAGTGTAAATGCATAACACAATTGTATGGTATATGTAATAAACACATTATTATTATTACTGCTTTGGATAATCAATGCAGCTGAGATCAGAAGGCAAAGAGTACATTGTTCAAGAAGGAGATGTCATGCTTTTTCGGTTTAATGTCTGATTTATACCAACAAAAAGCAGAGCCACCAAGACATGAATCAGCTATCTTCTTCCTTCCATTCATAAGTTGCCACAAAATAGCATTTTTTCAGTTAAAATCTCCTCCACTCCTTCCAGCTTAAGATAATAATTACTGTAAATGTTATTTAAAAACTTTATCCTTGGATCACATGTCAAATTAAATTATTGCAACTTCTGACTTTTTATTGTTTTAAAGGGAAGAGGGAAAAGATGGTGTGATTGCTTTAAAGCTAATCAGGCCCTCACCAAAGCAGTAATTCTTCGGTGGTTAGCTTTTCGTGGACTTATCCATGATCACGACAAATTAAAAGATCCCTCTTATTCCAGCTCTGTATTTTTTTGTTAGAAAGATTACATACACAACTGAATTATTAATGATTCCTATGTAATCACATATCTTAATCCTAAACTTCAACTTTTACATATATGCCACCTTATTTAAGCATGAAATGGTGTGTCTCATTTTTTTTAAAAGTTAGACATAGTGGTATTTTTGTTATGTAATATGTGTTGTATTAGAGGGTTATTTGTAAATGGGGGTAAATAGGTTATTTTATATTTTTTTATTAGTATGTCTCATTCATCTTTTTTTTATAAGAAGGATTAGAGTTGTTTTTTGTGTGGAGTTGTTATTTTATTTCAACAATTTTTTCTTTCTCCCCACTTGTTGAAAAGCGGATTTGCGACAACCACGTAAATTACATCTTGTTTGATTATTTGTTTGTTGTGTGATTTTGTTTTATGCATTGTTTTGCATAATATTTGGTATCTGAGCCGGATTTGTGTGATTCTGGCAATGGGCTGCTGCGATTTTGACGGAGTTGCAAACACAAAACAAAGAGATCGGAGCAAATCATGTTAGGAGATCTGGTGAAGTCATGTATAATATAATGTTAGGTATTTTTAACATTCATCAAAACGGTGGAAAAGGCGTCAATTTATTAGATGATTATACATCTTATCAGAATCTATTTGGCAAGATTTAATGACATGAAATTTTGGCAGGAAGCGATGCAAAGGTTTTAATGCATTTTGTTATTTAAATCTTGATGTAGTTATTGATAGTGATGAATGTTCTGAGGAGATGTCAGAAAGATGTTTGAATATGAACCAAAGTGTTTGTGGCTTGATTTAAAATTATTTATCTCAGGAGATCAAATATGCGATGATGATAAAGACTTATGTAGGAAAGTTATGGAGGATGTTGAGCAAATATCTATTCAACAATTTGGGGAATTATTTTTATATGAAACACAATTTTGCAGGTTTCAGATGAGATGAGTTTAATATTGATGAGTATTTGAATGATTTTATAAAGTTTTTTGTAAATCTATTAAATTTAAATTGGAAGATTAGAGATGAAGACAAGACATTTCTTTAGTTGATTTGCTCCTAGATATGAGTATGAAAATTTTACGATAACTCTAATTCATTGGAATTAGATCTTGAATTAAGCTAGATGGCTACAACTTTGTTAAACAAAGTGTTTTCAATATGAAAAATATTGCACATCCTTCAAATGCTCGTGTGGCAAGGCAACCGCCCCTCTAGAACCAACCTGCGATGACAAAATATGTCAGGAGCTTTGTTGACATTTAACAGATAGTCATCAATCCTCTATAAATGTAATTGGGGAGGATATTCTCAAGATTTTGGATATTCTACATTTCATTTATTGAGTGTGATTCACAAATAAATTTAAGTTCAATAATATATAACTAATTTTGAAAAGAAAGATTTACATACATTTTTTTTTTTGAAATTTGAGTGAATTTAATCACACAACACAACTAAATTTGATATACATACCACTTCATTTCTATGGAGTTATATATCTAACACCTGAATTTTAATATATATATATATATATAACATTACATGTTTAAGAAAAGGTGCATGTTAATTTTTTTTTAAATAATGATATTTTTAATATGATAGAAAAGATTTGATTTGTATAAATATAAAAAAAGTAAACCTTAGATATTAGATATGTAAGTATATATAACTTGGGCAGTATGTAAGTAAATGACCGTTTTTGAAATAAAAACAAAAGTGTACATATAAAAATTGGGAAATTAATATTTTTAGTACACAATTCTTATGCATTTACATATCTCACAACTATGCTTTTATATTTACATATCATTTAAATCTTTCATTTTGATAAAATATTTATTTAAGTCTAAAAAAAATTATTTGCTTGAAAGATTAACTAACTCACCTGACATTATTTATGTTCTCTCCTCTCTTGCTGCCCAAAAGGCGCCACGCCTCCCTGATTTTAAAATATCCTTCACTTTAACCGACACTCTGAAACTAACCACAGAGCTTGCGAGGGGTAGAGAGAACCAAACTTCTTTCGTCTCTCTAAACAGGATTCTGATGCAGTTCTTCTCGCGAAGCAGAAAAATTAGCGAAATGTTAAGGGTTTCTATGAGACTCCCGCCATTGGTGAAATCGGCGCCAAACGCTAGGTTCTCCAGCACTATATCTCGGTGGGAGGGCGGGGTTTCTATGGTTCAGGGTGCTTCCAGAGGAATCGGGCTCGAATTCGTGAGCTCCCCTTCTGAAATAACTTTGATTTTATTAATATTAGAAAGCTTGTCTTTGTTGTCTGTATTTTATGCGGGATTTGGTGTATTTCGTGCTCTTTTTCCGTCGATCGTTGGTGGAACATTCAGCTAGGTTATTGTCCTGATTTCTTTTTCGGGCTGACATTATGGTTATAGTTGATCGTAGACTTCGGATTATTTTCGTTCTAATTTTGTACTTTATAATTTTTTTGTCTATTTGATGCACCCTATGAGTCCTGGTTTAATCCATAATGTTTTCAGTAAAGGGCATATTTCTGTTCCAACTGTTCTTCAGTTCGTTATTTGCGTTGAAAATTTAGGCTTGAACCAAATTTATAAATGAAATCCTTACAGTAATAATAACACAACACACATACAAGTCTAATCATACTTCCAGATACATTTGTTTTATTGAAATGTAAAAACTAAAACATATCATATAACACTTCCAGGAGAGCATTAAATCAATCTAATCTTCTACTCCTCTGCAACATCACTTGCAAGTACGATCAGTGGCGAGCTATAATTTTGTGGATTTTGGAGGTTTTTTTAGAGTTTGAAACAAAAAGATTATTTTCTAAATACATTCAACCGAAATTTATAATCTAATTTATGCAGCATTTTCTTAAACATGTTTTCTGACATGAAGCAACCAACTGGTCCTGCAGGAGTTTTGTATTGAAGAAGCACATTCCTTGTATGGACCTATTTGGGAAAAAAAGCATGTTTAGGCATTAAGAATTTGGTTGTTCACTTATTTTATTGTGAAAATGGCATTAGCACTTCTAAAATTTTGAAATGTTTACAGAATTTAGCATCAAACTTTATTTGCAACTATATCCATCCAAAGTAATGATTCTAATTAATTTATTTTTTTTTTCAATGTTTTTTTTCCTTCCAGCAACAAATCATATAATCCTCGTGTAATGGACATCTGAGTAAAAAATAAAAATAAAGGAATTGGAAGTGAAAAAAAAGCATAAAGGAAATGGAAGTTTTGCAAAAGGACATGAACGTTAAGTTATCCCCCCATTGCTTCTGACATGAATGATTTAATTAAAAAGATTGCCATCAGTTGCTTCGTTTCACTTAATATGTTTTGCTAATTCTGACTGTATAAAGTTAAGATATTGTGATTCAGAAAAGTTATCTTGATCTCAGTTCTAGACTCTGTAGGGCTTCTTGAATTTGATAGATGATTGTAGTGGATGAATATTAAAGGCCATGGTATCTTGCTATATACTTCATCATTTTAATATCAAGCTATATTTTAATCTATTTTTAAATGTTGATTGTGCTTGCTAGGTGAGGCAACTGCTGGAGAAAAACAACAGAGGGCATGTTGTTGCAACTTGTCGAAATCCTGGTGGAGCAACCGGCCTTATTGATTTGAAGGGGAAATTTGAAGACCGTCTCAACATACTACCACTTGATGTGACAGATGAGAGTACTATAGAGGTAATGCAACATTTCTCATCTATTGGCATCATTTCTCTACGCAGTGCTTTCAAGATCAGAAATGCGTGCTACTAAATTTTGGAAGCGCCAATAATACCTTCATTTTCTTATACTGTATGCAAACATTTATTATGCTGGCAACACATAGATTTAATAATAATAAAATGGGGCTGTGGGCGGACAACTGGAGGTTCCTTGTGTAAAATCTTATAATTAATATTCTTCCTAGAATTGTATAGATTCCTGATATAATCTTGGCAACTCTATGTATAAATACCCATGTACCATAAATTTAACGGAATTTGTGCCATTCTCTCTCTTTTTTTTTTTGGTTTTCTTTTACAAAAATCCTACTGGTTTCATGGCATTCAATTTCATCATTTCCGAGCCAATTTTATATTATAATGCATCTGTATTGTGATATCGTTTTGATTCCTGGGAAAAATTCCAGAACAATGTATATGGTTTTGTGCCTAGCTGTTTCCAAAATCTACCTCCATTAACCTAATATTTTTTTGAATTTTTCTTTTTTCTTATTTCTGTTTATTGACATTCTAATTTTGGAGTTGCTTGCAACATTTGATGGCTTCTGCAGGCTGCTGCCATCTCTATAAAAGAAAAATATAGTTCTCTAAACCTACTGATTAACACTTCTGGAGTGCTTTCGATACCTAAAACATTGCATCCAGGTTTGATCTCTTAGCCGCCAAAGACTAATTACTTGGCTTTCATTGGCATGCCTTCTGCTAAATGAAATTCCTTTTCTTCATTGTTCTGTACTTTGATAGTTTGCCACCTTGGATTTTCAGACTTTATAAGTAATTAACTAAGATGAATATTTTTCACAGTTCAGTTGATGCTCTTTGGCTTGCTTGGAAATAGTAACTCACAACCAACCTTTTGAACGAACCCTAAACTACCAGCCACAATGAGAGCCTTTCCCTATCATTGCTATTAAACAAACTTAACCAGCCAAACGTGAGCACTCACATCCACTAGTTATAAGCAAGTCTTGCAGATTAGGGCAACCAACGAGGAGGGAAAAGGTTAGCCGATTCCTGGAGGACGAGAAAGTAGTTAGAGAGCGTCTATCAGATGGTCAGTTTAGTTGGAATTGTGTTAAATGGCATATTAATTGAGAGAAACAAAGTGGGAGGAGATATTCTCTTTGTCCATTTTTGACACATTATGTTATTTTCCTAATAGAAAATCTTTGCAAATGCCTTTTACATATATTTACTTTGTTAACTATATGCAATTTCTTGCGCAGAAACAACATTGAGTAAGTTGGAGAAGTCTGCACTGATGCTTACATATGAAATTAATGCTGTTGGACCTGTTTTAGTAGTGAAGGTAAATGTTCATTCATTTTTATGCATCTATTTGCTTATTGAGCTAGCCTAGGTTCTCATGTGGTCTTCGATTATGATGCTTTCTCCAGCATATGTGGCCACTCCTGAAAGCCGGAGGTGGATCTGGAACCGACAGAGAATTTGCTGTGGTTGCAAATTTGAGTGCTAGAGTGGGCTCCATTGGAGACAATAGTTTAGGAGGATGGCATTCTTATCGATCTTCCAAGACTGCTCTGAATCAATGTATGTTGTTATTTTTTTCGCTTTGTTTTTCCTCAAAATCTGCGCCATGATAATGTTCACATGCTGATCTGTGGTGTAAGTTTCGACAATCATAATTACTACTAGATTTTCTAGAAATATTTTTAGCAATCAGGGGTACATGAATTACTCTGAGTCCCTCTTGGGGAAACCTCATCCATCTCCCCTTTCTCTCTTCCATCATCTTCTTTTTCCTTAGCAGGTCTTTTCCGGGTATGTATCCACGAACAACACGAGACCCTACCTCCCAAAAGGATTCAACATTAATGAAGTTATTGTTGGGGTTTTAACTGCTTTAATTTGTTGAGGGTAACCTTTTATTTGTTGGGGCATTTACATACATAGCACACAATTCTTTTGTCTTTACATATCCCCGCACCTAAACTTTCATATTTTTACATGCGTAAAACTCAAATCTTTAATATCACATCAATTAAAGCATTGTTATCACTTTTTAAAAGTGAAATACACCTTTTCATGCATAAATATGAAATTTTATGTGTAAGATATGTACATACATAAGAATTGTGTGCTACGCAAGTAAATTTCTTTTATTTGTTTACATGCTGGAGTGAGACTTATAAAAGGTATTTGATTTTGGTGTTCTTTTTTGTGGAGAAAAATATCTTCATTTAGTTTAGTATAGTTGATGAGTTTGTCAGATTTAAGGGACATATATTGTATTATTTGTGCTGATTACAGTCCCGATTTTCCAAATTCCAAATTGGCATTCTGTTCTAGTTTCACTCAGATTGATGTTGCACTTTTAATTGAGTAAATATGAATAAAGCAATAGGCATACATTTCAAGAGTATTTACTGCATCTTCGGGAACTTTTACATATATTATTTGTCATTGAACTATCTGCAATGGGATGTGATCCTTTATGCAAAGAACATAGGGGCACACATACCACTCAATTTCTATGTATATACATGTCTGTTGAATCCGAAACTATCCATGAATCAAACCCAACGAATAGAGCATAAATGAGAAGAGAGAGAGAAAGAGGGATGAACAATAGTAAACAGTGTTGGTTTGTCATTAAATGTTTACCTTATTTATAGTGGGGGAAGTACAATAGTGATAATTCCTTTTTACCCCCATTTGGAGAGGGTCTATATTGGGATATTTGTGGTATTTTATAAGCATTGGTTTATCGTTCAGTTGTCTTCTGGCTTGGCCAGCTGATCTTAGTTGATTTGGCTCAACTAGGTCAGCTCGGTCTGCTGATTCATCCTTGCTAACTATCTTTGATCTTTGATAAGGAGTTTTTGGGTCATCCGTTGGGTGGTTTATCTCAACTTCCCCTTCTTCCGGTATTTCCTCCCATGTGTCCAGGGTGAAACTCCCTTATTCGATCAAGCCATACCCCACTAACGATTCCCTTCTTCCTCCGTGCTCTTCCATGCCCCTTGCACCATTCCTCCTCTAATTTTCAGCCCAAACCCCTCCATTTAGAAGTCTCCATTCCCCCTCCTCTCGGAGTCTTATGGGGATGCTCTTGGTGATAGATGATGTCCTCGTTATCCTCTTGTTCAATCGCCTTCCCCTTTGACCCAACCAAGGATTCCCTGATCAACTATTAGTTAGGGTTTGCAACTGGAGTGATCGACATGGCTCTGGACTACATCTCTATGAGCTTTTACATCATCTCCTGCATTTCTCTTATGCTCTCGAACCCATACTGCATTTGAATCTCTATGGAAGAAAACCTGCCCTCCTTAGTGGCAAACATTTCTTCCATTCCCGATTTGATTTTGCCCAACTTCTCATTCCAGCACATCCACTTTCTTTGTTGGCTTCCATCCAAGATCCTATTTGATACAATTTGTTACAATCCAGAACCAAAATCAGCGAGCAAACAACAATGAAATTGCAATAGATAGGCGAAAAAACTCAAATGAGGGCGGCTTTTATGAAAATCAAAGGAAAACAAGCAAGATACAATGATAATCTACTATTCGAGAGGTAGATCGTCTCTCCCACAACCTACACGTCACTAGGAATATCACTGGAAGAAAAGAAAACAACAGCCAACAAAACATGCCTAAAAGAAACAAACCCAGCCCTTAGGCACTAATAAATTCTCCCCAAGTGTCTCTTTAAAATTTCCTCCCAAAAGCCCCTATTAGTCTCTTTCCTTCTATATGTGATCAGCGGCCTGGAAAGCCCCATGTGGTCACTGGGGTTGCCTGGACTAGATCTTGGCTGGGCCGGCTGGTCTGGCTTCTTCTAGCCAATCCAAAACTAGACCGATTCACGCAGCATCGGTCCAGTTTTGTGCGCATCTGGGGTAACGGAAGGACTCCCGTGTGCATCTGGATGGCTTGGACGATTCTTGTTTCATTTCCGATTGGATGGATAACACTTGGTTCGTCCAGCCATCTTCTTGTCTGCCTTTCGTCTGATCGATTTTGTCCTAATTGACTTGGCTCGTATGACTTGGCTTGTATGGTTAGGTGGGTCTCATGATCTGTGTAAGGTTAGTGCAAATATTTTTCTTATGTACAGTATCTAACACATAAACTTCGCTTTTTTACATTTATATCATCTAAATCTTTCATATCACATAAAGAATACCACTAGTTTAACTTTTAAAAGTGAAATACACCTTTTATGTAAAAAATGAAGTTCAGGTGTTAAATATATAAATGCATAGGAAGCGAGTGGTATATGTATGTAAATCTTTCTAAAACATATTATCACCAGTGCTTGTACTTAAATTTGTGCTGCTGTTTCAGTGACGAAGACCATTTCTGTGGAATTAGCTCGGAAAAAGGATCCAATACTCTGCATTCTGCTGCATCCTGGAACTGTGGACACTGATCTTTCAAAACCTTTCCAGAAGAGCGTTCCACCAGGTAAGCTTTTTACAGCAGAATTTTCAGTGCAAAAGCTCTTGAGCATTATAAACAATGCTAAAGGCAGTGACAATGGAAAATTCTATGCTTGGGATGGCGCAGAAATTCCTTGGTAAAGTTAGTTGAAACTTATTATTATTATTTTTTAATTTCACTCCTTTTATACGCCAAATGTTGTTAACATGAGCTATTAATTGTTGGAAATACCTTCTTTGTTTCTTATATTAAAATTTAGGGGCATTTACATAAATAATTCTTAATTCCTATGTATTTACATATCTAACACTTATGCTTTATTGTTTACATTTATACCACCCAAATCTTTGATATCACATAAAAAATAGCACTATTTTAACTTTTAAAGAGTGAAACACATCTTTATATGCATAGGTAAGGTGGCATATATGTAAAAATTGAAGTTTATATGTTAGATATGTAAATACATAGGAATTGAGTATGCAAATTTCCCTAAAATGTTATTAGTTAAATGCGCAACACTAATTAGCCAAATAACAGGCTAATGAGAGTTTATATTGATTTTACTGAGCATCTTTGCTTTCTTGTCCAATGATAGTCATTGATGTTTAATCATAAGTTCTAAAGCTTTAGATTCTTTAGAAATAAAAATATTTATTATCCCCATAATTTGGTCTGTTAGTGTGGGCTCGTTGCTTCCATGCATATAAAATTTTCTAGCAGTTACCTGTCAAAGAGGCAACCTTGATCAATAATTATTGCTTAATATGGATTGTATTTGTCGACGAACTTTTGCAATTCTAATAAATCAATAATTAAAAGCAATAAATAAATTTTAAAGATAAAATAATAAATATTAAAATCTTTCAATCGTACAGGCTATCGTTTCTTAACTTTCATTTATTAGTGTACATCGAAAATGTATCAGCATAAATTTCAAGGAGATCTGACAGATAAAGACGAATACGTACAATCTGAAAGGCCTACTGGCGGGAGCCTATAAGACCCGTTAACGAAAGATGAAAAAAGCTCCGTTGGCCACTCCTAAGTTTTACATTATAACATACTCCTAGGCAATATAGTGGTATTGTTGGGGGTGTGAAAACTTGAACCAACATGAATCGACCCGTACCCGACTTGAAAAATCTAAAGCTGTTGAATTTTTTGAGTGCAGCTCTAGTTGACCCAACAACTTGAATCTTACCCCAACTATAAATTGACTTGAAATCTACTTGCCATTCTAGGTTTGACTTGAGATTAACTTTGAAATTGATCCAAATAACTATTATTCTTCAAGTTTAATGGGTTATATGAGTTGGGTATGGGTTGGTGGTTTGAAAGTGGGTTGAGCTCGGGTAAAATTGGACTTCTTGGCTCGTTTAATATTCAAGTCAAGTTGTTTTGGGTCTGATCAAATCAGGTTCAGGTCCTGAACCTGACCCCCAAACTCAATTTGACACCCTTTTGCTTGGTCAAAAAAGTAAACTACTTGCCCAATATAGCCTCAACCTTGAGAATCCAAGCGCTACTATAATTATAACATTTGAAATAATAATAATAATATTAATAATAATTTTTTTCATATTAATGTTGTTTTCTCTTCACCTTACATGCTTTAAATACATAGAAAACTTTATGGCTGATATGAATCAAATAGTTATTACAAGATGGAAATTTTTGCGCAGTTAACAATTCTTTTGTATGCTATGTGCGTACCTTGTTTTTGCTTTTAGTATATAATCATTACAGAATAAATAAATGATAGCATTTATACATAAATTTTTTAGATAATATATTCATTTTTTGCTCAACCCTCTAAATTGGAACAAATTTGACCCAGCTGCCAATTGAGCTCGTTGTTAATTAAAAAAATTAAGTTTTGTTAGATTAAGCTTGAAATAGTTCAAATTGAGCTTGCTTGACTCGAACTAGCTCAAAAATGTTTACAAAATATAGAAAATTAACAAAATTACTATGTATTATAAACTTATAAATATAGTTGTATTGAGCTCGTTGGAATGGCCACTTCATTTCTCTTTTCATCTGTTGAGGGGTATCAAAAAGAAATAAAAACCGAATAACTGTCTTACAAACTTGTAAGCAGGGCTTCATATCCTCAGTTTTAATGACATATTCGACTACAATCTAAAATCTATTTAACACCTAAATACTACAAAACAAAAGCCATCACCTACAATCTTTTGTTAAAATGGCAATCGATTTGAATTTATTTGATGCGTTCATGAAAAATAGGATTGTTGGCAATGCAAATAACTGCACGATTGTCACAACATACAATCATCAACCAAGTGACAAGAAAAATCAAATTCTCAAAGGAGTTTCAATCCGCATGAAGTAGCATGCAAATATATCATTGCTCTATATTCAACTCCAATGCTTTCTTGATCTTCTATGTGACAAAATTTTGCCAAAAAAGATATTATATCAGGGGCCGGCTTCCTCTGCTTCTTAGATTCATAACATGTATGCATTTATTAGAACATTTCAAACCACAAAAAGACAGACTAAAGAGTTAAACTAATATAAATACTCAAAACATAGCATCACCATAAACTTAAATATTATGACTTTCTGTTGCTGGTACACCAAAGTACCAACCTCTAACAAGAGAACAAAACAACCATATTCGCATCGCAACGCCAAATGGGGATGACATCTTATGCAAAAAATAAATATGAGACAGAAGAGATAAGCAACCTAAATAATTGTCATAAGAATTACTAAATGATAGGAGATTGAGATTTTAGAGTACAAAAAGCTCTGCGAGGTGAGTCACAACTCGCAAGCCTCAAACGAGAGAAAATGAGAGATGAGTATTCCATTCTTGGCGAAAAAGACAAAAGAACCTGTGTGACAACGAAGCGAAAACCCTAACACTAGCAGAATTTTAACTAGAAGCTTCTCCCAACTTGAAAAAAAAACCAAATGAATGTGGGCAACTGTGGGTTAAAGGTTAGAAAATTGGGATCAGGGTTTTTAATTTAAATATATATTACTTAATAAATTTTAAGTATTTAATCCAAGGCATCCATTTATGATCAATTGATCATTTGCCTGAAACTAAATCACTTAAAATGATATGATTTCGATTATTCAATATAATTTTTTACTATATAGTAATAAGTTTATATATATGATTTAAAATTAAATTTTCTGATTCGAGCAATGATGAGCCAAACACGATCGAACGCAATATATTTGTGTTTTGCTCGAGCTTTAAAAAAAAAAAAATTGAGTTGGAATTAATAATCAATCACCTCAATTGTAGACTTTTGTAATAGTTTCCACTTATAATTATATCATATTATACTATTCATGACAATGAATAAGCACTTTGCATGTTTTTATATCACTTTTCATGAAACAAGATCGCTTACAAGCTGACAAATCGAATCGGGGTGGGCCAAGTTTGGCTCGTTAGCACATAAAGCTCAACTTACGAGCCATTTATCGGGTTGAATTCTAGTAGACTCGAACTCAGGAGTGGCTTTGGGCCGCTCGGCTTTACACCCCTAATGTCTTTCATCATATGGATTTCAGTTCTTTTGATAATTAGTTGTTACCAAATAAGTATCAACTTCTTGTGCCTCATAATACACAAAGTTAATTAAAAAAAAAAAGCCAAATATGGTAATCAATTTTTTTATATAAAAATTTGACAATCAGATGTAGTATAATATCATAATTATAAAAAAAATGTCATTCTATTTTATAAAGGAAATATATTTATTAACCAGCTATTTTATTTTAAATTCAGGATTAACTTTATTGATAATTAATTGTAAGAGCTCCAATATAATCATATTCATGCATTTTGATATTGATGGAAGGATTCTTATGGAGTTGATTATTGATCATAGGTGAAGATTGAGGTTTTTATTTAATGGCAATATAAATTTTATTTTAGACCATATAATTATTTTTTTTACATAAATCCTTATGTGGTTTGATTTACAATTTGTGGCATATTCTTTATTAATATATTTTAGGCATCATTAGTATTTATATAATGGACACCAAGTAAGTTCCAAAATAATCTATTTCTATATCTTGCCCTATGATATACATATTCCGGATAAGTCTCTAATGTGTGGGATCTGAATATTCCGGATATCTTTGCCCAATGGACACTTTTCGGACATTGACACTCACCTGACATACATATTCCGGATGAGTCTCTAATGTGTGGGATCTGAATATTACTAAAATAACAATAAAAAAACAGACATTTTGAACCCGCGTGCCTTAAACTTGTGAATTAAAAGAATATTTTTATTTTTTTTAAATATCTATGATATATTTTTTATTATTGTCGATAGTATACTCCAATATACTCAATCACATTCATAGGAGGTCAACATAGTAATTCATATTTTACAATCCTAACTTTTTCAACTTGAGGGAAAAGATTGCTTCTACAATCTTGCTTTTCGTAATAGATTATTTCAACCAAGTTTTGTCCTATAATTTTTTAAAATCTTTCATATAGTTTTCAAAAGAATTTTAATTTATTATATATATATATATATATATATATATTATGTATATATATAGTTAATTTTCAAATAAAATTAAAAATATAAATTGTTAGTTTTTAATGCTTTGTTTGAAATGTTTATTTTGATATTATTTTCAGAAAAATGGAGCCTAAAAATAATATGCACGATTAAAAATTTTAATTTAATGATTTGGAATTATACACTTACTCACTTTATCACGGATTAGTGTCTGTTTATCTTGAAATAGTATTCAAATTTAAATCCACTAACAAAACGCGTTTTGTCAACCTACTTTTAAAAGGTCATATTTTGCGTCCAGGCTTTGACTAATCATTTAATTAAGCCGTTAGAACCCTAATTATTTATTAATTAAAGTAAGCGTGAAATGGTTTCCTCTTCCAACCCTCTATTTATCCGTACTTCATATACTGCAGCAGTCAGCTACTTATCACGGCCCAGGCCCATGGGCCGTTTCTTCATCTTCAATCTTCCTTTTGACCTAACTGCTTTGGTTTTCATTCTACAATAGTTTGTTAGTGCCTACTGCTAAGGCAAGTTCGTTCACAGGGGACCAGCCTTTATGCTATATAGAAAACCTCAGGCTGCCGCACTGTGTAAGCGGAAAATCATTATGCTTGATGAACTACACGACTGAACAATGGCAATGATTCAACCACTTTATCTTGCATTTTGCATGGCCGGATCGTTGCAAGTGTCCGAACATGCGGACAATGAACG